GCAGCTGAGGTTGAAGTGAAGGCTGAAGTATAGACGGAGTATGAAGCTGATGACCAGAATGTTGAAGGTGATACAATCCACTCTCAAGATGCCCTATCCCAATCGTCTTCCATGTCGAAAGATCCTAAATAAAATGAGAATTATATATGAATAATAGGCAGCAATTGTGTTTAAGTGTAAAATTACTCGCAGAAATTAAGTTGAATTTGAAGCATGGCACAACAAGCACATTAGTTAGCACTAAATCATCAGATAATTTTACAGTGCCAACATGGGTAACTGGAACACTATCACCATTAGGCAATCTCATAGACGCATCAACAGCTGCCATCACAGTAGTCAAACGTGTGACAGAACACACCATATGTTCTGAAGCTCCTGTATCAATGATCCACTTATTTCTGATAGCAGAATCATCGAAACTCATACGGTTACCTGAAAAAATAAAAGCATCAGGAATGGAAGGAGGTGATGCTTCCTGAGAAGAATGATTCTGCTGAGTAGAGTGTGCCAACTGATTCTGTAATTTTGGCATCAACACAGAGAGAATTTGCTGACATTGACTTGGAGAGATGGTGAGATGTGAAAGAGATCTCAGCACTTCAGAATTATCTTGTTGAGACATATGCTCAACAGCATTAGCAACAGGCATGTTTCCTTTACTGAATATGTGACTAGGAGGATATCCTATCAATTTGAAACATCCACTCTTAAGGTAACCTTGCATTCCACAATAACTACATACTGGCCTGTCTTTCCTCTGAAACGAACTGAATCTCTGATTGCCAAATGAAGTAGGCCTTTGATTACTAAATGAAGTTGGCCTTTAATTGTGAAATGGTTTCTGCACCATTTTACTGGTAAGAGCAGCAACATCAAAGGTTTGTTGCTTCTTTGCAATAACTTCTTTTTGCCTTTCCTCTTGCAGAATTAACGCAAAAACCTTGTTCAACGATAGCAACGGATCCATCAACAATATCTAGCTTCTAACAGCCGAAAAATGCTCATCTAATCCCATAAAGAACTGCATAACCTGATCTTCTCCCCTGCTATCAGTGTCAGCAAATTTGGTCTATAGTTATCTAATTCTTCCCAAAGACCTTTGAA